AAACTATGGGTATGACACAAAGTATTGCAAATTAAAATATGGATATACGATACAGAGTATTGCAAATTAAACTATGGGTATGGCACAGAGTATTGCAAATTAAAATATGGATATGATACAAAGTAATGCAACTTAAAACATGAATATAATAAAGAATATTAAAAATTAGAGTATGGGTATAATACAGAGTATTGCAAATTAAAATATGGATATGATACAGAGTATTGCAAATTGAACTACGGGTATAATTAAGGGTATTGCAAATTACAATAGGGATATAATACAGAGTATTGTAACTTAATATATGTATAAGTATGATACACAATATTGGAAGTTTTAATTTATTTATTGCATTAAGTGCTACAGAACAATACATAGTGTGACTCAATACATTAGAGTTAAATTTTTACATTGGATAGTTAAGTATGAATTATGTATTACTTAAATATAAATTTGTCCTTAATTATTGAAGCTAAAATATAAACATGATATTTTTGTGTTGATATATTTATTTGAAAAACTAATGTATTTAATTTGTTTTTAGGAAATTCATATGTGATATCAGGTGTAGTGAGTTAAAACTGTAAATGAATATGAATATGCATCCTTTATGTGTTGTAACTAATTGTAGAAATTGCGTCTGAAATTTGTTCATACTTATTTTTATTTTAGTAAACAAAACTGTTTTAACCCTGTTTGTGTATTCAAATGTATACAATGTTAATTTCTATTAATCTAATTTAGTCTATGTTAAAAGATAAGTTATTATTTTACCACACACACATTCAACAATATTCAATCTTGGTAATGTCTAGATCATGTCTGGCATAGGCAGAAATTAAGCAGCAGGGGAGTATTTAAGTAATATATTAGTAGAACTCTTACATTTAAAGATTTATTTTGAGAAATAAATCTTTAAATTCTGACATATTTATGTATACAATGTGTACCAATATCATGTTTCTATTCTAAGTTATATTGTTGTGGCGAAATTGTTATACTATCAAGCTTATATGTTATATTGTTTTACCGTTTTTATTATGTTATTAAATTTATTGTATATTATTCTGTTGTACTTATTTCAACCCGCAGTTTGCGTTATCGTTATGAATTTTATTATGGCGAAATATATGCGTTTCTGTTTTTAAAAATAGTGACTGATTGCTTTTAGACCAGTCATGAAACTTAATATAAGTCTGGCAAGAGTATGGTTAAAGTTATTGCAACGTAGGACTCGAACTTCATATTTTTTAAGAATTAAACATTATGAAAGCCCTCACGAGCTGTAGTCCCACAGATGTGAGAGGTAAGAGATATACTGCAAACAAGATTAAAACAATGCAGGAGTCATGTGAGACAAAGTAATGATAAGAAGAGTTAAACTTTATCTTTGGAGGCCATTTTTGCTCTCCATCTTTGATTCTGATGCCTTTGAAATATGTTTGCTAGGACATCATTTCGAACAACTTTTCCCTATACATGGATGTGGCTGTCGGTGTTAGTTTTGGAGATATAATATTTTTTAACGATATCTCTATAATTGTCTATGCTTATCACACTCATTACATAATTGCGCACAAGATGACGCCACTATTGCAATAGACTGTGGCAGTTCATGGTTATAATAAAGGCTCATCCATTCTAGACAGAAAAATAGCGGACCAATACGGTTTGCTACAAGGAGTTCAACGCCTCGATCAGGTATATTTACCCTGTGCCTTGTAAGAATTTATGGCTCTTTATGACGGAAGGGAAAACGGGAAAACAGACGCGGTGAGTTACGGTCGTTATGGCGGATATCTATTGCAATCTATTATAAATACAAGTATCGCCAAGTTCCGCATCCATTGGTTTGCTTTTACACGCGCTTGCATGCATTCACGTGCATTGGACGGTGCACCCATCATTTTGTACTTTTACCAGTTACTACGCACCTAATATTTGGTAGTGTTTAGTTTTTACTTGATGAGTGATGAATTTTCAATATCTGTACAGATTATTATAACTTTATTTGATGTTTGTTTTAATCATTATTCGACATCTTTTTTCTTCACAATAAGAAGGTAATTTATTCTATATTAATCTATTAGAAATGCAAACATATACAAGTTTCATATGTTTCTAACCTTAAAGAAGATTTGTTCAGTTATTTCAGATTTTTTTCTTAGTTGAGATATTATTAATTGTTTAAACAGCGAAGTCTGTTGGTATTTATATAAGTAATTTTTTCATGTCGTATATTGTAGAAATGAAAAGAAGCATTTCAAGGCATTCACACTCTGCTGAAAGATCAACGTCATCGTGTCATGAAAATTACAACACATCTCTACGCTCAAGAACGGAAGAAGAGAGATTGCAGCGAAGACGCGAATGGAGAATCCAACAAGAATTACAACGGAAACATGAGATAATGAAGCAAAAAATGATTTTAGAATATGAAAGACGGCGTGCTCGTGAGAAAGGTTTACTACTGCCTAACCAAGAATTTTCATGTCGCAGTCGAAGTAAAAGTAAAAGCAAATCTCCGCATAGTCGACACAGAAGAAGATCTACATCTAATACTTCAAAGCCCTCTATACTCTCTGAAAAGTATGTATACATTCTGTGTCATAAGTAGACTGCGGATCTTTATGCAAAATAAAATCTTTGCAAACGTATCTACGAAAATTGAACCTAAATAGGAATTTATTTTCCTCTGCAAACATTATATTATGAGCTTTAATTACAATATGGTTTTACATTACATACTGTGTGCATTTTGTAGGTTCTTATATATTCTAATTTTCTATAAATGCATAAAAGTTCGCAGTCTAGTCATAAGTATATAGAAATAAAACACGTAGAAGGTAGATCAATACAGTTTTGAAAATTAAAAATTATAGTTTTAAGAATCAAATAGAAATTTATGAATAAAATATTGAATGTTAATAAATTTAAAATCAAATATCAAAGGAAATATATGATTATACTATAGGTTAGAATCATCGGAGGGATCAACACCTTTATTTAAGGGCCCTGAAGGAACAAAAATTAGCACAACAGAGCTACGCAAAATCAAAGTAGATATTCACAGAAAGATTCCTGGAAAATCAACTCCTTGCGAACTTCAACGTGATATTGTCAATCCTGAAGATGTGGTGCTTAAAAGAAGAGCTGGTAATGTGTTGCTTTTTATTATAATTTCCTAACAGGTTTTAGTCGTTTAGTATTCAAGTACCATGGAAGGAAATAAACTCAACGTGGAAGATGATTACTTCTGGAGTTCTCTACAAATCGTGAACAGCATATTTAAGTTTCAGAGAATTGTATGCTTTCTAATGTAAACATGATAGCTCTGTGTTAATATTATTGGATACCATTAAAATTCGTTCAGTTCTCTTTTAATACATTTTTGAAATTTAGAGAAAGATTTTTAAAGTTTTACTTCTTCAAATGCAATGCTTGAAGAATGACAACTTTGTTTATCAACTTCTACGACCATGAAGATTATGGACTTCGACGTGATATTCTATTCTACACAATAGTCAAGAATTCACTCAGTCATACACTTAATTTGTGAGGTTAATATTTGTTTTTGATCCATCCAGGATATAGAATGTTTGGAATACAACGTTGGATCGCTCTATTGATCGGATAATGTGCATTGTGTAAGCACAACATTTTTTACTTTGAGTGTTTTAAAATTGCTATGCTTAACATATCTGTTGCTTCTTGCTTTAATAGTTATTTTTCTAATGAGTTTGCACAAAGAATTATCTTTCCACCATATTAATAATGCAGATTTAATATTTTATGGTAAAAAATAATTCCTCATGGAAAAATGTGTTTTTTACTTTTTCTGTAGTCACGTTTTGTGCATTCTCTTTGCATTCTGGTGTGGGAATGCATGCATGTTTAAATATATTGATTTTTTAAATGCTTTATCTGCTAAAATGGAATTAGCTAAAAGACTCCCTCTGAAGATGTGTTAAGTCTTAAGGTTCTACAATGGAAGAAGCACAGTCAATTAGGTATTTGCAACAATGGAAGAGACAAACTTAAATATCAAAACTTAGAATTTTTTAATAAAAAATGCAAAAGTAAAATAGTTATATTGCGCAAATTTATATGATTTATTTTTATTATATTCGGTAAATTTAACTCAGTAATGTAATGCAAAATGTTACATAATTAAGTAGAGTTGAAAAATAAATATTCTTGTATGCTTAAATATGGATATTGCAAACGGATACAGAAAGGATGTAGTAGAATTATGAGGTTCTAGATCTACAACCTGGAAGATTTTTTAAACGTCTTGGAAGATACGGAAGCACCTTGGAAGATTTTATTATTTAATTTAAATAAAGAAGAATTCTTTTAATTAATTTTCTTTCAGAATTGCAATTGATTACACTTTATTTAGTTTGAAACAATTTAATTTGGTCAAACTTTATAGAAAAAGTTGTAATTTAATTTTGTAACTTATTTAAAATGTAACGTATATATTATACATTAATTTTCCAAATGATTGATTTTGACAAATTTGATCATACAGTCTAAAATTAGTAATTATTGTAAACATGCATATATTCAGTATGAAATATTGGTTATACTTAATGAAAAAATATATATAGGATATGTATACTATATACTCCTTTAAATTTGAAAGAACAGTTCATATGATTTGTATAAAGAAATTATTATTATGCTTAAAATTAATTATATTAATTCAAAAAAAAATATTAGAAATAGAGCTTATGTTTAAGTAGTTCTGGAAAAATAGTAAAAATTCAACGTAAAGGAAGAATTCTTATATTTCCAAAAATTAATTTTGATCACAATATTTTATAAATCGCTTTCTGAACTTTATACCTGGTATTCTAGGAAGTTGTAAGCCATTTACTTCTAATTATGAATATTGTGAAAATGATTAAAAAGTAATTCTTATTTGGAAGAGAAAAATATGAGCTCATACAAGTTTTTAGTGTGTAATATCAGATATATGTCACAAATAATATAAAATAGTGTCATTAGTAAAAATTATAATTTTTTTACTTCTGCAACTATTATTAAAAGCTGACTTAGTCAGTGAATTTATAATAAAATAACTTGGTTTACAATTGTTCAGAACTAGCCCATTTGAATTAGCAACCTTAACATCTTCAAGGTCTGTCACATTTGCTAGTATTGCTTATATGCTTGTTTTGTACATATTTTAAACATTACTTGTATCAATACATTTGCATAAATGTAGGAGAGGGGGCCAAACCAATATTTGAAAGAGAAGAAATAAAAGGAACAACACTTGTAACAGAGGAAATCGAGGAACACCGTACAGTTGTAACTGTAAATAATGAAGCTTTAGGTATATTAATTATTTTCAATTTACAATTCTGAACATGTTTTATTAGAATGTGTAATATATACACCGCTTTATTACTTCTAAATCTTCGTTTTAAATCTTATTTTGTATGAGAATATTACTTTTGTTTTGCAAACATATAATTTTTTATTTTCAGAAAACAAGTCGAATGCGTTTAAAAGGCGTTCAGCGTCTTTAAGTTCTGTAAGAACCAGAAGTCACAGTCCTCGACGCACAATATCTCGTCATTCCAGGTTTGTGCCTGTATTGGCAGTAATACTTTGCTAATCAAAGTTGTTACAATTAGCGATTAGTGTAAATAGTTATCCTTAAGTAGCATAAGTAACTTTGATTTACTTATACAATAAGATTTCAGTCTTGCAATATGGATATGCTTGTTCGTATATAGCTAATTTGTGAACGAATTGTAAAAATATTAATGTGAAAGTGTTCATCATTTTGAAGTAAACGTACTCGTTCATAAATTAGATTCTGTATACAAAAATTATGCTGAGTATTGCTATTGTATTTATACGAAGAGTATGCATGTTTGATCATTCTTAATCGATATGATCAAAAGGTATTTCATTATATCATTTCATATGATTCATAAATAGAGTTGGATATATTTTGATATGGATAGTCTTTTATTCGTGGCTCACGAACATTTCGAATAACTATTATTTGAATAAAAACATTTTATCTAGATATGTATTTATTCGTAAATATATAATTACATAAATGATAAAAGCAATATGGGTATAGAAATTCGATAAATATTAAAATACGTGTTTTGCACATTGTGTTTTGATGTATATGTGTTAAATGTTTTTTTAAATTTACATTATCTAATTTTTCTCTTTGTTTCTAGATTGTTGTGTTAGGCATGTTTTGTCTTATGTTACTACAGTTTGTTTTGTTCTAGCTTTACTAATGCTTCGCAAGGATATGGAGAAAGGACAAACAGATGGAATATGGACAAGATTTGCAATGTACTTGATTGTATGCACATGCTTGCTTATACTAATATCAATGCTTCTGCTATATCTTTTAGTATATCAACCTGTATATTTTTCTTAAGGATATTCCAAACATAAAATATTCTTTTCATATATAAATTTGAGTGGATTAAAATGAATAAGAAATTAATATTTTGCAAATAACATGGGTAACTTTGTTAATAATATTTTTTTGTTTAAATTGTTAGAAAATTATATAAATGAATTTGTCACACATTCATACTAAAAGCCAAAAAGAATTGTTATAATGTTATACGTATTAATACAAAAATATTCTCCAGAGTCGATTAATACACACTAAAATATTTTAATTAAACCATAAATCGAATGTTTCATTGATATTTTGTATTTTTGAGTCTTCTTTGTATGAGTAAATATATACTATTGAAACAATGAGTAATAATAATAATATTGAAAGGTAAGTAACTCAAAATTAAAATTAAAGAATTAAATGAAAGTATATCATAATAACATGGATAATATATGTTGTATTGCTAACTGATTGACATGTTCTTTATTTCATACTTTGCATAATACTTGTTAACAATTTTGTCGAATTTCCCAAGTGGAATTGTTTTCTATTTTTTTAAATACATTTTATATAAGCGCATTTTGAACTCAGCCTGTCTTTTTCTGCTTTTTAAGTGCTTTTATTACAATTTTGTAATTCCTGATTTTTTATGTGCTTTTGCTTATTAGTTTAATAAAGCTTAGTAATTAAATAATTAAGTTATTATATAGAACATGTATAATAGAGTTTAACCTACATTACCTTTAACGTTTTTTTTATTAAATTACAATAAAATAAATAAATTTTACTTAAATGTCAGTAAGTAAATTTTCGAAATTTTTTGAAAATGACATGCAATATAATGAAGTTAATATGGATATAGACAAAAAAAATATGGATGTCACACAGAGTATTGCACTATATATAAACATAGGTTAAGCATAGATGTAATAAACTAATTTATTGTTTTACAGTAATATAGATTCCAGAAAGTGTTAGAAAATTGAATTTCTTGTTAATTTGTTATTCTCTTACAGACATGAAGACTCAAAGTATGGCGATAAAGGTGGTCATAGAAGCGATAGGTAAAACTCATTGTGATTTTTATATTTCTCTAGTGTTTATAATTTTTTATATTTTTATTTCATTATATTATTACGCTACTTATTTAGGGGAAAAAATCGTAGTAGAGGTGAGAGTAGAGAGTATAAAGAAAAAGATAGGCGGCGCACTCAATCCCATAACGTAGAGGACGATCATTCACGGGAAAAAAGAAGAAGTCATCGTGATCATTCTCGTTCGAGGGAGAGAGAATCAAAACGATGGGATAGAGATTTTCATTACAGGTATATTATAGAATTTTTCAAACATCCTAGTTTACCAACTAAATTTTGAAACTATTATTGAAATAATAAACCATTTAGAGATGAGAGGTCTTATCGAGAGTATCGAGGAAGATCCAGAGAACGTTCTCGAGAGAGAAGAGATAGAGACAGGGAACGAAGGGTTCCTCCACAGCACTATATTGAACAAATTCCTGTTCCTATTTATTATGGAGTAAGTATTTTACATATTTACAAAATTTAATGATTAGGTGCATATAAAATTTCCATTTATTATTTATTTAGAATTTTCCTCCGAGACCTATAATGGTTGGACCTTTGGTTCAAATTCGTGGGCAGGGTCCTCTTGGAAGTAACAGGCATCCTCCTATGATGGGACCCTTACGACCATTTGGACCACGATTTATTCCTGCTGATATGTATAGATTACGTCCACCTCTAAATCCTAGTAAGTATACATATAAACTTGGAATGATTATTAGACAAGACACTATGTTAATTATCTGGATTTTATACAGGATTTGGACCAATGTTCTAATCGATCTGTGATGAACGTATACATTAAATTAATAAGTAGCAGGTATATTTTATTATACAGTACATGACCACACAAACCAATCTATACTATGATTACTAAACATTTTATTGCATGTGGGAATACAATAGATTGCATTCATAAAACCAGATTTTTATCATATTTTATTATAGTATGAGATGTTTAAATATTGGTATAATTTTTCAACTGCCTTGTTATATTATAAGAATTACTTGTATAAAGCGTATACATGCACATCTAATTTTAGACATCAAATTACAAGACAAAGCGAGTTGATTTTCGCTAATTTTAATTGCTATTTAATTTTATACATCTATTCTGAGCGATACATAATGTGGGTCTAATTATGTAAAACTGCAAAAACGTGTTGTAATATCTGTAATATATTTTTATTAATTTTATGGAAAACTTGTTCATGTTTTAAAAATGCGATAATTATTCTTATGTAATTTTAATTAATTGGATAAATATAAATCATCAATCATAAGAAATGTTTTTAAAAAAATTTGATATTCCTATTGGGTGTATTTACAACGACCGCACTTGTATCAAATTGATGCTTAATAAACCTAGTTTAAATTTTACAATTGCAGATCTTATTTAAAATATAAACCTTTAATGACAAATTTTCTTCTTTCTTTAATTACGCAACACTAATAGCAAACGCGATTCATAATGTAGAGTATGATCTCGTTGCCGCAGGAGTGCTCCTGTTATGCGGCAACTTATACTAATAGTTTTGTCGAATCGGTTGCCATCTCGTAGGCGCAGGAGTGTCCCTGTTATACGGCAACCTTGCTAAGATGTGCTTACACCCGCATGCACTCCATATTTTATTTAAGTGAATTTTTCCCAGGCAGCGCTACAAACTTTGTACCAATTTTTATTACATAAGCTTGGACCTAAACAATCACCTATTTCGTTTCTGCTATAATTTATCCCCATAAAAATTGTAAATTCAGATCAATTCATTCTTGGTTCTGAACACAGTATCGTATGAGCACTTGTCCATAAACCCCACAAACTATGGGGCCCCATGCTAATTTGTGCAACGTTCCAACGTTGATATTGATTAGTAAAATTTGTCATTGCCTAGTATGTCAATCCTCAATTGGTAGAATCATTGGTAGCGGCCTTTGGGTCTTTTCTTTTTAGTGTACGATATCTAAACGACATAAATTTAATGAAGTGTCTACTGTACCCGATTTGCCTGGGGCCCACAATGTTGTTAAGACGGCCCTGTCCGAACCAGCACTTTCTACCGCGAATTACAAAACGTTTGTGGCCGGTAATTTGTTTCCATTTTTGAGTTACTTCTGACAGAGAAAAGCTTATCGTAATAAACTAAATATATTCGAAAGTTATGTTGATTAGGATTCATAACATGCAGTATTTAATAGCTTAATGACAGTCGGTAAAAGATTCCAATAGTTCTTGCTCGTGATTAGTTAACTAGTACGACAACGTGACACGTTTCCCACGTGATAGCGCGGTAAGTGTCAGTCGACCATCGGCCACCGGTACGTGCGGGTTATAAAAATATATTCGCGTCCTATCTCGAAATCATTCGAAATTGTAACGTCAAAAGGAATCGTGAGACATTCGAAACATCAACACAATTCAACAGGAACTACAAAACAGGTATGCACATTGATCCTTCATTAAATATCAATATTCTTCATGAATTGTACAAAATTGACTACGTTGCATTCAGGTGCACTAATAAAACTGAATCAACGTTCAGGTCCAGCAATTTGTTTTATTGTTTCTTTACGAAAGTAGCGTCGATGTATAAGCTTAGCTACATGAATTCGCTGTTATGTTAAATGTAAAAATATAAATATTCAAGTTCATGTAACCTCGTACGATTAGTGTTTCCAAATGTATTAATAATACCTTTTGATGACGTGTAAAATGTGCATGTGCATTCAATGTAGCAGAGACAAGGAAAATTTGATTCGCAATAATGAATATTAAAATTTATTTATGACATTCGATCAAACAGTGAGACTTTCATTTGTTTGTTGTGGAAGATTTTGTTCTAAAATCGAGTCTCAAATTTCTATTCGATAAGTGACAAATAAATAATCGTTTATATTATATTTAATCTAGATACGGATTTCATTCAGGTGTCCCAAAAATGTTGTAACACCTTGAAAGAGGTGGTTCGGGAGGTGATTTGAAACAACTTTTTCCTCAGCGAAAATGTTGTCCGAGGCTTCGTTGAGGAGATATTAACGGAAAACACTGACCAATCAGAGCGCGAGTATGCCGATGGAGCGTAAACTACGCGCTAGGCGGCTGCGCTCATACGCTACTGCGAGCGGTCCAACGGTATACGCGCGTTCTGATTGGTCAGTGTTTTCCGTTAATATCTCCTCAACGAAGCCTCGGACAACATTTTCGCTAAGGAAAAAGTTGTTTCAAATCACCTCCCGAACCACCCCTTTCAAGGTGTTACAACATTTTCAGAACACCCTGTATAGCATACAGTTCGATTTACAACAATCGATAGATTTGTCTGAATTCACTAGTTGATCGAAATTACGGTATAAGTGTTAGGTGATATTTATGAATTGACGCAAGATGGCACACATTTTTCACAACTGCTTTTATTCAAAACAAATATTACATAGTCGCAAAAAAGTATAGATTATTTAATAAACGTTTCGATCTTAAATTGTCTTTAGTACAAAATTGCACACTACTGTATAATAATAAAATCGTACACCACCAAAGTGCAACGTTTTTAATAAACTTCTCGTAAAACACACAACTGAAGAATGTCACGAAATGGAACAGAATCGAAAAGAATCGAAACTTCTACGTAATACACAGTTAATTCCTTCCTTCAAATTAGTAAATATATTCAAAATATTATACGATATACTGGATACATTGCAATTAAATGGTAAACTAGACGTAGTCGCCAAGAACTTTACGATTGATATAACCTTAAATAATATAACTGAACAAAAAGAAAATAGTAAAGATATGCAAGAGAAGAAAAAGTAGAAAGACATAATTGATTGAGAATAACGATAGCAACGAAATAGGTACAAATTAAAGATATGTATAGTGCGTAGTTCATAGCAAAGCAATAAAGTGAATTTGAACCAATGAACTCTTTCGCTTCAAGTATTTCTTCTTGTTCCTGTTGTAGCGGTTATCGCCAACATTTTCTACGACGCGTAATATCTGTTAGTACCTGCCATGTATCTTTGATCACGTTGATCAGTACATAGATAAATGAAAGTGATAGGTGGTGTTAATTGGCTTTTATTAGTTAATCGATGCGCTCACTTCTACTCGGTCAGCAATGTATTTCGTTGAAAGCATTAGGCTCCTCTCTTTTTTATGTTTCATAAAAATCGGAAATATAAATAAACGGTATTTATTAAATACCGTACCATCGACAACGCCGCGATGCATATCAAGTGTGTATTGCAATAGATTATTACCAGCCTGCGGATTTGATACATTAATTATACGTAGACTGATATACATACATATTATAATAAACAGATGTCGAACGTAACCGAAAAGTACGTGCACCTATGCAAAATGAAATAATAATTGTACAGTATGTTCAACATATTAACATTATGTGTATTTTATTTATGTTTTTTATAGTATTGTACCGCATAAATAATCCGCAGTTTAATAATTATGAAACAGATTAATGTACATTTTAATGTTTTAATTCGTAGTTGTTTTGTTTTCTTTTATCCATGGGCACTATAGCACCGATCGCCTTAAGAATTAAATAATTTCAACGCATCACGAAAGAATTCGAACACGTGTTTGTCAACATGCGTACGTTTTTATTCGTTGCCTTTTTTATTTTCTTTCTTAGTTCCCTCTATTCTCCATCTTCGTAACCGTCCGTGGCTTTTTCTCGGTTTTATGTAATTCTGGAAACTGCGCGTCCGGGAAAAGAATACTGAGAAATGTGAAGTAGGGCCCGGACTTTTTACCATTTTTTTTTTTTTGTATTTGAATATTCCAACACCTCGGTCGTTTAGGTATTCGCAGAATATAAGTTCTAATACTGGATCGCCTTAATGAAGGTACAGTTTTTTGTCTAAGTTAAAAACATGAATTCCTCTCTGACTGACACAAATATGTGCATATCATGAATTTTCGTTTTCAACAGTTTTTATTTTTGAAAATTGTTTTTTTTAAAAGTTGGATAAAAAAAAATGTTAGAATCACCTTTAAGATCCCTTCTTGTAAAAGGAAACTGATTCTTTGCGTTTCACGAATTCGTCGAAACGCTTGCATTCCACACGCTCCTTGGAATAGATTATCGTTCGTTGGGAAATTCATCTTATTTCTAATCATCTTATTTCTTGTCATTCGTCGTATGAAGAATGTAAATACATGCCCACAGAATGCAGAATCACATGATGGTTACAAAATGTACTGAACTATTTGCACCGAGTTAAATATTGATTAGATTATCAAGTTACATATTCTATCGATACTAGAATTTGATTGATTGACATTGATGATAATGAGTAATAAATTATTGTAATTAATATCGACGATACTGTAACGATATTTACTTAATAATGCAAGCTTCCTATTTATTAACGTAAAATGACCACGTCTGATTATTAATAAATTTAATAAATAAATAAATCAAGAATAAATTTATTCTTGATTTTCAGTTTACGGAACACTCCGATACTGAAGATCGACTCGCCATATATTTTTATGACCATGGAGAACACGATGACGGAATTCGAGGAAAGTGTATCGTTCGACATCGATGATCCAGACTTCGCCCCTTCGAATTCCCGCGCTATTGCTCACAATGTTCTTCGTAGCGTACAATTTGCCGACATTGCATTCGGTATCAACAAATGTAAGTAGATTCACGGTTAATTGTTTACAGCTCACGTCAGATTCGCTGCAACGCCAGCGTGCTGCGCAACGAGGAGTACAAATGATTGCGAATCAGTCATTAGAATAGATTGTGAGACGGGAAGTTTGATAATTGATACCCACTGAAAAATTTTAATTTTTTGCATGAACGAAGTTTATGATAATCGAATCGCAGGGACCTTTTTCATTTTGTTCAAAGAACGGTTTTAAGTAGGGTAACGACGGCCTTTCGAAATAAGTCTGGTTATTTACAGTGGGTGTAGAATGTATTCGTACACCGATCTTCTCAAGCGAATGAAGAAAATTAATCAATTATTTCATGGCTTTAATTATGAATTCTCGTAAAATATTTAATATAATTTTCATTATCGAAAATGAGTTAATACATAAATTACAAACATTACTCCACAAATAGTTTGCCATTAGGAGTGCATCGTTATTATTTATTTATCTCCGCACCAACAATTAAATTTCAAGGCAGAAAGTTAAAACACAATTTACAATTTCAATTTCTTTTGTTTGAAGTTGATGATCGAGAATGCGTATGCCTCGAGTCGGATAAATTCTTAAACAGTACTCACGGATATTACGTATCCCAAAAGCTTATCGCATTGTTAACTGCCAGCTGATATTTTATCACGTACGAGATCGTATTACGTTGGATGACTACAAAGCTTGTAGTGACACTAATGTCAGATTGCATCCTTCTGATTCCTGTTTCTTTCTTCTTCTTTTTTTTTTTGCAAACTACCTTGACAAAGGAAAATAAATTTTAGCTGAAATAGATGCTTATAAGGAAGAGAAGACTGTTTGCGCGGCATTATTATCCTTAATTTTAATTTGACATTAATTTATTATTGTTATTTCTACCAATGTATTCTAACTATGTTGACCTATAAACCTAAAAATCCTATTTCATAAAAAATTCATAATAATTTAATATTTTTAATATGCATGTCGACCATATTGGATCCGCCATTTTGAATTTTGCAATTCTGATACCAGATTCGTAATTTGCGGCCCAAATAACCATAAAATACCAAGTTTCACGAAAATATAACAACTTTTTACTATACGTGTCGGCCATATTGGATCCGCCATTTTGAATTTTGCAATTCTGATACCGGATTCGTAATTTGCGTAAGTAGATTAGTAAAGCTGCTATATATTGTAATTTAACAATCTTTACAATCTAGCTACAGATTCATCGTTTGATATTATTAACTAGTCTTCTTTTTTTTAAAAATTTTAAGCCTCTGAAGGGGCGCCACGATAATCTTGCCCGGGGCGCCAATATTGCTAAAACCGGCCTTGGTGACACCTGGGTGGCAAGAATTCTAAGGACGCTCCTGAACGGACCGTGTTGCTTGGCTTGTGGCTCTATTATTATCGTATATTAGGACGTGAAAACATGCACAGTCCGCGATCCAGGAACTCGATGTACGGACAAAATTGGATCCACGTGTGTATCAGCTTTCAGCCTGAGAAATCGGCCTCGCAGTCGGTGTTCCGTTCTGCACAGTCGATCGCAAATGGTATCGTGCGTCTGGCGCGTGCGCTGATCGCGTAGATAATGGGTCTCCTTTGTTCAACTGCGAGCGCATCTCGTTTGCAACGTGTGTTCAGTGACACTGTGACACTGACCTGTTGCTCAATGACGAATCATTAATTTTTGTCGTGATAGTGTCGTGTAGGGTCGTGATTTACAATCATTACGTTTCCTAATTACCTTGAGGTATTGAGATCCTCAAAATACACCCCCACGATTGACTATCTGAACTTTCGAGTCAAAGAACAATACGTTACAAGTTCAAAATAAGTTATTTCTGAATAATTTAAAAATTCTAAGAACCACTGATAATTCTAAAATTCTAGAACTATAGATTGGGGAACTAAAAATAATGCAAAATAAAAAAATTCACCGAAAATATTTGAGATGTGGCCAACATTAACGAAAAATAAATAGTCTAAGCGAGAATGAGGTTCCGCATCAATAGCACCGAAACCTTACTCTCGCTTGGACAAGCAATATTTTTCTCGATTAACGGATAACGAGAAAAATCCAACATATAATGATTTATTCATAACGTTTTTTCGATTAAACAGTTTCATTTGTATGTATACGCCGAGAAACATTTAATTCTGTTATTAAAAGTCTATAAAACGAAATGTAGCGCGAGGCAACGTTGCGGAAACGAACGCAAATCACAGCCGATTGATGTCTTGACCGTTAGAAATTGGTGAATTGTGCTTCAAGTTGCAGAGGTCAATTTGTATAAATTCGAGTTGTTGATGCAAAGAGGTTTTATGCGTAGTTTCGAGTTACCTTTGGTTTATTTTTTTAGTTATCTAAATTTACAAAGGGAAACTAATAAAGCTTCGATTTACAGAGGTTTCCGACTTAACCACTTCTCAGCCTTGAAATTTTCTAATTTTCTAAATTTTCTGTACAAACATTCTTCAAAGTCAGTGTGTTGAAGTTGGGTAATGTTTCTTGTCGTTTCCATAGCTGTTTTCGTCGAAAGGTTATTGTGAATTCGCCTTTACTTGTTACGTATATTTGGCTTCACAATGCCTTAATTGATTCGAATCGAGAGATTTAACCCTGTACAGTTCGTCTCTGACACGCAATAAATTATTCGTAGGTCAGACTTACAGATTTGTTCAAATAAGTATAGTATATTCGTTTTCTCATATAGATTGTTCATATTGTTACTAGTCAGTCCATTTTTTCCATTTCATATATTTTAAAGAGTGCTTGGTCTATAAACCTGACTATTATACTTAATACATCTAAACTAGCCAGTGTTACACCACTGAAGAATAGTAGACTTTTATACCTACTGTTACCATGTAACTATGTTTTATTCTTGAAGACATATTACAATACATTTATAGGTGTATTTGGATACTGACCATTTTATCTCGCCTTATTGTTAGAGATAATTTTAAAAAGTAAATTATTTTCGTCATTACTGATGATTAGTTTTACAAAATGCAATTATTTTTTTATGTCATAAACAATTTTCGATAAATTATATTAAACGAATTTGCACACGTATCTTCATGTGAAAATTCTTATAAAAGATCAAACATGTGTGTGATTGAATATATTTAAATATATTTGTATACATTTATTTGAATGTATTTTAATTGAGGTTAGGTTGAAGACAGCCTCGAGTAGATGACGAATAAAATTAACGTATAATAATTTATCCGTGATATTTATTTAATCGAGCAGTACAATTTTTAGTTTACTGTAAAATATTTCACGATACAAGTTCTAATCTTCATTTAAAAAAATGGATAAACAGATAAACATTCGTTTATTCTTTATTCGTTATTCGAAATTTGTTCCTGGATTGGAATTTTATTCATCTCTGGAGGCGAAGTTACTATGTCACGGCTTGTCGAAGGAGAAATTAATAAAGAATGAGAACGAGTGGAATACTACGATTAATAAAAATTATTCCGTCGGGAGGACAAAGTGTTTCTTCATTGACCCAAAGTAAACAAACGTTTCACATGTTACAACTCGATATGATTTATTGCTACGTGGACTAACGCACGAGCTATATATTTGCTATTGGAACGAATAATTTCAAGGAAGACTGAAATTGATGTCTTATAACACTTGGAAGTAAAATTATCTCCGTTAGATTTTTCACATATTTAATTTTTACCGATACAAGATTACGAATGTATAAGAGACATGTGAGCAGCGTGTTGCTATAAAATACGATGCGATTCCTGGTAGCGATCAAGGTAGATTGTTCCTCTGGCAGTTGCTGGTGAAAAATTTTAGCTATAACTCATTTAGGTTGAATCACCTTCCTATGGAAGCAAGTAGTGAAAAGCATCGATCGCCGAGGTTACTGGATGATACACTTCAATAGGTTTCTGTTTTAATACTATTTAAGCATTTTTACACGACTTTGAAATTCAAATTATACAATAGAGACTGTTCATAAATATTTCATTAGCTTCTTCGTGCAAGCCTTTAATTAAAAGACTATTGATTATGTTAACTTTATATAGACACAATACTACAATGATGATAGAATAGACTTTAAATTGTGAATAAAAATACATGTCTTGAGTACGAGGAATTCAATTTAATTATTAAATATATGAAATAAACTAAACTGGGTAGTTGGGTATCTATATCATTAGTGTCATTATAAAATATTATTTTTAGTGAAAGCTTATCGCAAACAGTACATACATTTGGCTTCAATAGTGTAAGTAATAAATAAGACGTAAACAGTTCCATTCATTTTCTCTATTAATATATCATTTCTAGAATGATTCAGAAAAACTTTACTACTTAAATATTGTAACCCAAGAACTGTTTATAGTTTCAACTATATTCATATTTCATTATTTTTCATTTTTATTGACTTTTCTTCTGTAAAGTTCAATTGAAAAGTCGTATTCAATTTTCTGTATCCATTTGTTATCAGCACTTCGTACAGCAGTGTTCTTCATTATCTACAATGTTGTTTTCGCTGTTACTGCTAGATGGGGATAAAAGTCTGTTTTCATGATAGAAAGTATTGCGAGAGCAGCTGCAATTCTATTGTATTTTTCCTAACCTATATTTTCAATTTCTACATACATCACTGTCACAATTTTGCTACAGATTGTAATAATTTGTGAACATACTCATGCTTACAAATGTATTTGTTAGTTGATCTACACTTCAAAAATTGTCGTAATTTTTTATTGCGACAATGTGCTATGTCGTATATCGTTATTACGATATTATTAAGGATGTCTCGTCGTACGGTACTACGACCTTTAAACAGCTCTTTACGTTTGCACAATTCTTTTCACGACTTCAATGTCTGACGAGATACGGGGAATTTTGTAAGAGTTCAGTTTGTTATTGCGATTCTTTATCTGGCAGCGTGGAAGTCACGCGATGGCTTCGTTCGTTTACACACATTCGCACTTTCGTTCTGGTGTCGTGATGGAAGA